GATTCTATGGCTTATTTTAGAGTCAAGTGTACCGTTTAATGCCACATAGGACCCAAGATACTTAAATGTGTTTACCCTTTTAAGTTTAACGTTAAGTAAAGTAACACCCCCCATTTCCTCTTCTCCATTAAAAACCATATACTCCGTCTTCTCTCTACTGACCTTAAGTCCTCTGCCCTCCATCACTCTCCTCCATCTCTCCAATTTCTGCTCTACTCCCTCCCTGGTGGTATCTATGAGGACTATGTCATCTGCAAATAACATGTCCCAAAGTGCCAGTTCGATGATCCCTTGGCCCAGCACATCCATTATCACGTCGAAGATGTACGGGGTTAGAGAAGAGCCTTGGTGAAGTCCAACTGTTACTGTGAACTTCTCAGTTAGCCTGACACTGGTTCTTACTTGCGTCCTCGCTCCCTCATACATATCCTTCACCAACTTCACATACTTTTCAGACACTCCCTTCTCTCTCAGGCATCTCCAAACTTCCTCTCTCAGTACTCTGTCATATGCCTTTTCCAGACCTATAAAGGCCAGATGTAGCTTTCTCTGTTTTTCACCATACTTTTCTAACATCTGACTGACAACAAAGATAGCATCCATTGTCCCTCTCCCAGGCATAAATCCAAACTGCTGTTCACCAATCTCTGTTTCTTGTCTTATCCTTCCTTCTACTACTCTTTCCCATATTTTCATTGTGTGTGACATCAACTTAATACCCCGATAGTCCACGCAGTCTTGGATGTCACCCTTTTCTTTGTATATTGGTGTGATCACGCTATCTCTCCACTCATCTGGTATCTTCTCCTGCTCGTAAACCTTCTTCAACAGATCCCACAGCACCTCGACTCCGGCATCTCCCAAACATTTCCACACTTCTGCTGGTATTTCATCCGGTCCTGTGGCCTTACCCCTCTTCATCCTCCTCAAGGCTCTCTTTACCTCCTCCCTACTAATCTCAGGTGCATCCCTCTCGTTCGCTGCCCCCTCTCCGAAAACCCTTCTCTCATTCTCCTCGTTCAAAAGCTTTTCGAAATATACCCTCCATCTATTCTTTATTTCTGTCTCATCACTTAGTATGCATCCTTCCTCATCTTTAATCTGTTTTATTTGTGTAAGGTCTTTAGTTGAATTATTTCTCCTTTTCGCCATCTTATAGATTTTCATAATCTTTTCACTAAGATTTTATGATATCAGAAAAACACGTAGGTTCCAGAAATCTTGATACAAAATGATAAAAAACTATAACCCGATCGCTTTCGAAAGGGGGGGGGGCTTTCTTCTTTAGGGGCAAACTGAAGAAGAAAGGTCTGTCTTTCGAAAACGATCGGGTTATAAGGATTTTATCATTTTGTACTAATATTTTATATATTCTAAGCCACTCAGCCCGATCAGCTCTTACAAATATACTCTTCCTAGTGGGAGCTGCTTTATAGGTCAATAAATACTAGTTTAATTTTAAAACCATTTTCAGAATTATTCTGTTGTGATACTCAGCTTTATTTCCAACTAATGGAATGTTTTAACAGTGCTGTTCTTGTCTTTCTGTGTTCGCTCCCAATGGCTTAGTGGTAATTCAATAGGCTTACCCAGATGAGCGGAGCACATATAGCCTATTGTGTAGATTTGTGCTAAAAAACAACCCAACTGTTTTCATGTTCATTATTACTAATTTTCAGACATTTGTATTTTTTCCTTTGCAACTTCAGCACATGAAATCAAAATTACATTTTTTATTGTTTTTGCCTTAAAACTTGAAACAATTATTATTCATTATTACATGCAAGCAAACTGATGTATATAACAACGTTTTAAACGTATATATCATATATATATAATTGTAAAAGTTTGAAAACATTAATATGGTACAAAAATCTATAAGCTGGGTCCTCCTCACGATGTAAATCTTGGTAGATTTTGGCTGTATTAATGCTTCTTTAATATGATACGCTATTGAACAACGATGTTTAATAGAGGGCGATAATGTATTTACAGTTTTGATAATATCACCAATGGTGAAGAACGTTATAAGAATTTGGAACGAAGTAAACAGATATTTATTTTATTAACGTAAAGGTATGTGTTATTTTTTGAATATGTATGGTTAATTTTTGGAAATATTTTACATTGTAGAAGGATAAACCTCGAGCTTGAAGAGGATAATGGCATTGTTACGTTAGACTTAGAAGTTAGAGTAAATAATGGGACAAATGCAAAGAAGACTACTGCGACTGCAACTTGAGACTGAGTGCAAGTACTGCCACTGTCAAGTGTCAGTAAATCATGAGTAATGCTAGTATTGGTATTGTTTAAAACCTTTTAATTGATAGATCTAAAGAAATCAGTTGGTTAGGCTTGAGCCTTTTGGCTAGTATAACATAAAGTCTTAAATGTAACTTAGTTTCAACTTAACATGTTAATATTAATAATAAGATTAGAATTAGAAATGACATGGCTGTTACTGTTAGTGTTATGTTAGTATTACTATTAGTATTAATAGTATTGCATTATTTATCTACTCCAATGTTCATTATTTAACTTTTAAGAACTACTACTTTATCATGAGTTTATGTTTACAGTTGACATTGCCTGTGGGTGTGAAAGCTGAAGTATGAAAACAGGAGGTACATATTATAATTATGATGATTTTTTTCCCATTTCTCAAAAGTGAAATAATGCTGCCATCAGGCTAGTGATATATGATGAACAAAGCGGGGTTTTATTAACTTTTATTCAAATAAAAGTTTTAAAAATACGTAGCATTGCCATTGAGAAGAAAGAGAGGTGATGATTTTGTTTCACCACAGAAAAATGAGTAGATCATTAGTTTCAGTCTAATGTTTTTGTGCTTCAGACTTCACACTCAATCAGTCAATGTCAAGAGCAGTGACGATATTTGTATAAGGTAGGTTTGGTTTGGGGACAGTTACATAATGAGGAAGCAAAAAGGAGAGATTAGGTAAAGAACTTATAAAATTAAGAAGGAAAGTATAAAATATATAAAAAAAGCTAAACATTTGCAAAACAAGACATGTTTCAACTTTTACTATAGGCACATGCAGTAATAGCAAAGTTATAGAAATAGATCAAATGAATGCAATTTTTGTTATGTCTGTTTTCATTGAAGTTCAGTATAGTATTAGTATTATACTATACTGAACTTTAGTATAGTATTAGTACTGTCAGGGTAAGGCTATCTGCACTGCTGGCAGTGATAATTTTCACCATTATTGTGCTTGCATTGTTAACGATTTTTAAAGTAATTTTTCATTCTGTTTTCTATGTAAAAAAGAATATGAATTATAGGTTTATATATTTTAATCACATTTAAATATCATTCATTCATGATAAATAAGAGTGACCTGAAAATATCACCAACAAACATTAGGAAGTTTGAACAATTGGTGGAAATGTAACTCATTGTGTGTCTGAGGAGCATTTACTTGAATTGAAGGTTATAATTTTACTTTGAGCATATTTATTTCAATTTAAAAAACAAAAAAACATTTGAACACAATACGATAAATTTTACAAGCACATTTTATTATCAAAGGAACAAAAGTGATATCACTGAAACAAACACCAGAAAAGATTTAAGCTATTCATAGAATCTTCAGTATTAAGCTTTAAGTAAAAGTTTCCTTTTAGCTGTTGTATTTCAATTTTCAAATTTAAGTTACTTCTAAATTATAATTTATGTGATTACTATTTGGAGACCTATATGATATACAGTGCTGTGCAAAAGTGTTAGAACAGACTCAAAAATTTCGGGCTACTCTCAAAGAACAATGGAAAGTAAATCACAGGTGAAACATCAAAATTTTATTAATCTTCATATTTAGTTCAACAGAAACTTAGTGGAAGTGCTTGAGTTCAGCAAACAGTTAATATTTTGTGTGTTCCCCTTTTGTTTTAATAACTACAGACAGTCTTTCAGGCATTGTTGCAGTATATTTAATTTGAGATTTAACACCAAATGTCTCTAATACATTCCCATAAAGTTTATTTGGAAGTAACTTTTGATTTGTCAAATTTTTAATCTATCAAATCCCAGATCTGGTCAACTGGATTGAGATCAGGGCTCTGTAGGGGCTATTGCATCATTTCAATGGCTCTGGCAGCTTCTTTCTTAGCTAAGTAATTTCTGCATAGGTTGGATGAGTGTATGGGGTCATTATCTTCTTGGTAGTAGAATCCTTTGCCAATAATACACAAACCACTGGGTATAACCATGACGGATCAGTATCTGATGGTATTTGCACTGGTCCATTATTCCATCTATTTTGCAACTATCTCCTATTGCCTCAGCAGAAAACACCCCAAACCATCACACTGCTTCCGCCATGCATTGAGGTAAGTATCTTTCTTCCACCAGACATACAACCTATGCTTTGAATCAAATATTTCGAATTTGAACTCGTACGTCTAAAACACCCTTTTCATAAACAGTCCAGTTTGTGTACTTTTTAGCAAAATTCAGTCTCTTAACAATATTTGGAGAGTGAAGTAAAGGTTTATTAACTGCTACATGACCAAATGTTCTATTCTATTTGAGACTTCTTGATATTGTAGATCCGGACACTTTTCTGCCACTTGATACATGGTCGTTTATCTCATGCTTGAGATCAGTGACAGTCTTCCTTCTGTCCAGAAGGCTGCATAAACGAATACACTTAGCATTAGTATCATTGAGTTTAGATGTTCTGCCTCTTCCTTTCCTATTTTTGAATTTACTTGTCTCGGTCTCATGATCTAGGGTGTACTTGACAGTGTTTGGGGAGCATTTCAAGTCTGCAGCAATTTGTCGGAGAGTCCAACCAGCATCACGTAAAGCTTTTGTGTGAACTCTTTACTCTACTGACAATTCTCAACACTTTTTGGCCATGGTATGACAACAAAAATTAATATATAGTGTTAAACACTGTTTTTACCAAGGTTTATTTGTGGAATGCTATTAAATTGATTTCTTCTGGCATATATCGGCACCACATGCTAGCTTCTTTCTATATTGTTAAAACACTGCATGGGGTATCATGACTGTTATTTCAGACCCTAAATTTGACCAGCATGTTTATTCAAGCAGAACCTTTATGACATGCTCTTGGTACAAGTATAGGGGAATTCTAAAGAATAAGTATTCTCACCCTGGCTCATTCACTTGTCAACAAGGATCAGTGAAGCATTACCATAGTGTTGAAATTTACATTCTGTAATGGCATGGAAGAATTAGCCACATAAAATGGAAAGAATGACAAAATATTCTATTGTCCTAAACACTTTTGCACAGTCTGTATACAGAAGTTTATCATAGCAAATTTTTAGCTATTGTTGTATTGTTGCTCTTTTGTTGGCAGGTTTTTAAAATTATCTGGTGAAAAAAGTTTAGTCTTAATGATGAGAACAAATTACTTTATTTTCCTCTTTTAACATTTCTTCAAGGTTGAACATTTGCACACTGAAATTAGCTTATTCTATGCCTATGCTATAAATTATGTTAACTAACATAAACCAACTTACTCGTGAAAAGTAACTCTACAAGTATGATAGCAAACACAGATCCAAGTACCATATGCTAATAGTAATACACTGACTGATCAGATGCACTGTCTTGAAATAACTACACATTTCACAAATATTTCATGCTTATAATTGGAATAATCTTAACAGTGTTATGAAGGAAAGGGATCTTGGTGTAATAGTCAATCAGTTTCTAAAGCCATCCAAGTGGTGTGCTGTTGGTAGTGGTAGGGCAAATAGGATATTGAATACAAGTGTAAAGAGGTTATAATTTCATTGTACAGGTCACTGGTTAGGCCACATTTGAAGTATTGTGTTCTGTCCTGGGTTCCTTACCTTAGGAAAGACATTGAAATGTTGGAAAGGGTTACTAGAGTGGTACCTGGGTTGGAGGGGTTGTTATATGAAGAGAGAGGCTGAAATCTCAGATTGAGGTGTTTAAGGTTGTAAAGGGAATTGATAGTGTTGATGCATCATCATTTTTCATATTTAACAGTGAGAATAGTAGGACTAGGGGACACAAATATAAATTTTGGCAAGGTAGGAGTTATCGTCAGCTAAAACAGTTTTATTTTTCTAATAGGGTGGTTGGTCTTTGAAATGGGTTGTCTTAAGATGTTGTAGAAGCAGTAAGTTTAAGAAAAAGCTTTATAAGTATATGAATAATAAGGGCTGGCTTTAAGATTATTTTGTTTAATTATTTTAATTTAGTTTAGAGGATGGAACAGCTGAGATAAACCAATAGGTCCCATGTTGTCCCAAAACATTGTTATGTTATTAAACCTTCTGATCATAATGTTATCATTAAGACCCACAACTCTCTCTAGCTAACAAGCAAATTACAACATTAAGAAATATAGTTCAAAACACTGTTATTTTTGGACTATGGCCGTAGTGTTCCAAAATATCTAAGTGATACGGGAGGGAAAATTTCTCAGATCCTGTCTGTTGTTCTATAGCTGTTTCATTGCATTGTGGGTTATAGTTTCATGCAAAATACAATTATTTTGTTTATTTTGACACATTCTTTATTGTCATTAAACAGGTTTGCCAAAATACCTGAAAAAAAGGGGATGTTTACTGTATATGGAGATAATCTTGGAAATTTTTTGTTTTTTTTTCAGCTATTTTTAATGCAAAGTTTTCCAAAACAGATAGTAGATGTATTTGTTTGAAATGTTATTTGATGTGACACTTTTCATTTTTGCTTATGAAAAAGTATTTGTTGCCTCATTGAGATTGTAAAATTCTTAAAAAGTCCTAAAAAGTAGTTAATTTATGTCTGTAAAAAGTCCCAAAATATAATTTATTCATGTCATTGGAAATAAATGCACAAATATATATTAATATCATAATTTTAAAAAAATGTTCCTAAAATATTTGAAATTTTTTTTAAAATCTACATATATAGAAATTATCACCATAAGCAATGATTGTCTATATTCTGGTTATTGTGCCAAACCTACTCAGCCCATCATATGTTATGGCAGGAAAAATAGCATTAACATTGACAAAATAAGCAGCAGGAGTATAAAATTATCAAAAATTAAGCTGCAGTC